TAATTCCTGTGGTCCTGTCGAACCCCCGGCGGCCAAGTTCCAGAAAATGGTTCCGGACCCATAAAGGGTATATTGGCCTCCATCCTTGTCGTAATAAATCACTTCAAATATTGTGGTAAGATAACGAAAGTAATTTTAATTAAATAATTACATATAAATATAACGAATATCGATTAGATTCGTGTTCTCAATATTGAGAACTCAAACATTAAGAGCTTTAAACCGCAATTCATTTAAAAGTTTTAAAACAAAATTATCAATTAATATTAGAATATAAAAGAATTATTAAATTCTTACAAAAAAATTGACAGTATGCCTACTTAAAATATGTAAAACTTAAAACAACTTAAATAATTTCTAACTATCCGGATTATATAACAATAATACAAATGAATCAACCTCACTCATTATAAGATTACCTAATCGCTATACCAATTCTTATTTAAAATTCACAACATTTACCTGTTGTATAAAATCTGATTTCTATATCATATGCTCATATGCATAATGTATAAGGCAAGTATATAATGTAGAATAGAGAGATCTATAGAGACAAACATAATATTTTACTATTTCTTTTTTTTTTGGTGTTTCTTAATATATTATTTTTTTTAACCATATATCTTGCTGTTTTTTTTTTTGTATTTTAATTTTTTATTGTTGTTTTAGATCTAAGAATCTGTTTTAGTTATACATATTACATAATTATGCAAAAATACAGGTAATAATAACGAAAAAAAGAAAGAGAGGAAAAAAAAATATAACATGGACAAAAAATAAAACAAATAACAATGAGAACAGTAACAAGAGAAAGAAAAAAACACAAAATTCGTTATCATGAGATTTTCGTCCGATCGGATCATTTCATAGACAAAATATAGAGAGTATAAGTGAATGAGTACCGAACTACCGTACTACCGAACCGATTGCCGTGCGGATGAATTTAAAATTCGATTAATGTTTAATGTTGATCAGGTTGAATTTGAAATATGTGTGCTGCTAGTGATTGTTGTTGTTTACTATTTTGATTAATTTTTTTTTCCTATTTCTTCTAGCATAATATTAAATAAATTTTACGATTTAAGCATTTTTAGTTTGCTCGCTTATTTTTTTTTCTTCTGTTTTTTATTTCTGGGTTAACTGTTCATCCGCGATATAAATATTTTAATTAACTTCTATTGCTACCATAACTCTTGAGTTTTTATTTTTTTTTTTTTTTCAAAATTTTGTGTAATAATTTTTTTTTAGATCGTCGTCACGACACGATGATACATAAGAGATGAGTGAAATATTTTAATATTTTTGTTGTTTTGTTTTTCTCTAATTCTCTTATGTACTCTTACCGCTCGCAGTTTTCAGTTCAGTTCAACTCAATTATTTTTAAAGATTAGAAAATCATAATTTTTTTTAACATGCTTTTTTACTAATATTATACGATCAATAGATATTTTACTATGTGTATAGAGCTGTTAATAACAGACAGGTGAGAAATTATTGTTTTTACATATTAATATAGTTTTTTTTTTTTCGTATTTATTAATAAAACAAAAATAATTTCCTAGGAAGTAAAAAAAAAATTAAATTAAAAAAATTTTAATAAATTTTTGTCTGAAATTATTGTGATTTTCTGAATTTATATACACAATTATTATAATAAATAGAAAATAGAAGAAATAAAATCGGAATTCGATATGGGAAATTAAAATAAAATTGTGTGATCTGCAAAAATACTGAAAAAAACAGAAATATGAAAAATATAGAAATAAAAATGAAGAAATTAAATTATTTTTTTTTATAATAATTTCACGCAATAATTTTTTTGAAGAAGTCTTTGAAAGCGAATTTAATTCTTGTATATGAAAAAAATATTATAAAAGATTTGAAGTAGTGTTAAAAGTGCCTGTGGTGTATCAAAAGCCTAAAAATACAATTACGTGAAAAGTTATCACAATTTCACTTGAATTTATAATGTTCCGTTATTTAAATACCGTATTTTCTACAATTATTCATTTTTCGGAATAATATTTATATAAAAGCTATGCGGAACTGAACGAATTATCTAAGTATGAGTTAGTACACAATTAAAAAATTTCCCTCACATACTTACAGTAAATACAGTCAACCGAATTTATAAAATTTTCATCATTTTTTTCAATTGTCTATGGCTATAATCAAGAAGCTGGTAAGGGTCTGGCGTTGAAGCTGGAATTCAACAAAAACTGGTTAAATGTAGCAAGATGCCGACAGGCCAACTTATACTTAGTCCTATACTCAAGGAAAATTTCTTCAGATATTACTACGTATGGATAATAAAATGGTTCATTTAATAATGTATATTCTGACTGGGCACAGTCACTCTTTGTTGAGAGCGAATACAAGCTCTGAGTGATTTTAATTTACAAATGAATATTTTGCATTGTATTGAAATAATTCATATGTATTTAAGAATTCTATAAGGGCTATCAGCAAGAACAATGGAGTGGAATGTGCATTTGAGGTACAGAAACTGATGATGATTGCAAAAGCCAAGAATGCTAATCAATAGTATTTATAAATACAAAAAAAAACAGCAACCTCCCAAAACATCTTTTTACCCGCGAGTACCGCGAACTATCATTAATACGTTATTGATCATGCACCTATCTATACGAACTTTAATGAATTCATAACATTTTTTATTATTAAATTGGTTTTTTTTTAGACATTATTGGGTTTCATTCATTCGGAAAATGATTTTTATACTCCCTTTAATATTTTTTTTTTGCCGTTTCATTCTCATAAAAGGTAAAATTCAAAAAAAAAAATTTTAAAGTGAAAATTATTTTGGACTTATCTAAACTGAACTCTTGAATCTGGCGCAAAAAAAAATTTATTTATTTTACATTGCACACATGTCTTCACCATCTTTATTTCAATGAAATTTAATACTTTTATTTTAGTGCAATACTTTAAATATTGAATAAATTTTGGCTTAAAATTATTCAAGCCAATATTTTATACATATTGTACGAAAAGTATAACAATTGCATGCATGTGTCGTCATATTGGCGGAAAATTTTACGTGTTTGTATCCATTTATGCTATTGATAAGACGTAAAACAAAAATGGAAGAAAATGAAAGCGATACTTTTTTTTATGAAACTTTTAATATTTTCTTAACGTTTTAACTATTTACCCGATTTTTATTGAATAAAATAGAAATAAAAATTTATTATTTTTATGCTGATACACTGTTATACTAATATTAAATTTTGTACTAGTAGAATACAATAACAATAATTTTGAATGTTTCATATTAAAAAAAATTGTTTTGGTTTTACAAATCATTTGTAATTCGAATATTACCATATGTTTCCCAATAATGTGAAGATATTACAGTGTTATTAATGGTTAATTTTAAGGTATTCGTATAAATTATGTATAAAATTATTAAAGTTGCTAAAGATATTATTTTGAATAAAATGAACATGTTAATGATTGAACAAATTACTATGAAATTATTATGGTAAGCTGAGACTTTGGAATTTTTATAGCCAAGAATTTTGAGAATTTTATTTCAACAAAAAATCGGTCATATTCGGTTGAATAGTTTTTTTGATGTGATTAAATGTATTTAGCTTATTAGAAGGTAATGAAAATGAATGTAAAACTCTTAATATTTCACAGTTTTAGCAATAGAACTCTGCTCTTAATATTTAAAAAAAATTGGTATTCGTGTATAACGGAATTGGCATTCATATATAATAGAATTCACATTTGTGTATAACAGAATTGGTGCTCGTGTATAACAAAATTGATATTCATGTATAACAAAAATTATTGTAATATTTGTGTATAACAGAATTATCTTTTGTGTATAACAGAATTGGCATCTGTGTATAACATAATTGACGTATGTGTATAACAGAATTTACATTCGTGTATAACAGAATTGACATTTTAGTATAACAGAATTTACATACATGTATAACAGAATTAATATCCGCGTATAAGAGAATTTATTGCCATTTGTGTATAACAGAATTGGCATTGCATTTGCCTTACATAATTTTCCAATCTTTTGACTGCCATTTCAAGTTCTTTTAGTAGTTTACCTATATGATCTGATTCAAGTATATTTGCCTCGATTTCAAAGTGCGTACCTATATTTAGTTCAATGTGCGCCGTAAATTTCGCATAAAGTTTACATAATCGTTCTGCGCATAATGAACTTTGATACTAAATTTAATTTTAAATAAAAAATGTTGGAAAAAAGTACAAAAAAAAATTTATACCATAAAAATTCCAAATTTATTAATGTAAATTGTTATACGATTACTATCAAAGATATTTTGGTTTATTGTGGATTATTTTCAATTTTGTTTTTTTGTTTATGACTGTGGTAGCAATAAATTTTACTGAAGAACTGAATCGCATTGATTGCCAATCGCTGTTCATACGCCGTTTTTTTTTTTGTGTTTCTTTAAAAATTTAAAAATGTTTCTTATCGCGTGAAGAGCCTTTTTTAATTTGGGCACTCTTTTTTGTTTCTTTATACTTTCATTTCATTTATTTACTGAATATGAGTTCTTTTTGGATTTTTATCTTTATAATGTCAGGAATATAAATTCCTTTTTTAAATTTCAGGCTATTTATTATATATAAGGTAATTTGATTCCTAATAATTGAAAAAGCGTTAATAATTTATGACTTAAACTTTTATGCTAATGGAAAATTTTAATATGAAATTTAGTTAAAATATTGGGGTCTTAATAAAACTATAACCTAATGTTAATAAATTTCCAGAATTTTAGTGAAAATGTGAGCATGTTGCGGTCAGATTTTTATTGATTTTGAAGGAGCTGCATAAGGAAGGACGTTTTTGATTTTAGTTCGCACTGTGATGTACACAATTTACTTTATTACTATCACATTTTTATAATCTATGCTAAATAAACTTAAATTATAAGTATAAAATAATTATAAACTAGGTTCTGTTTTTGAAAATATAAAAAACTTACCAAATGACCTTGAAAAATATTTTATCAAATAGTGTTCTTGAAGCCAATTAAACAAAACATTCTGAAATTAAAACCAAAAATAGAAAAATAAATGTTAAGATAATTTGAAAATTTCCAATAATTTTATGTATGTATTATATATGTACAAAGGTATCTTCATAAAATATAAGATATTATTTAAAATAGCAGCTCTGCAAGTATACTACAATATTTAAAAGGAATAAGCGCCAGCTAGTAGCGATTCAATTGTATAACATGTGACTATTTGGAACTTTTTGGAACCGTATTTTTGAGATGGTCGATTGCATAGAGAGTTTTCGAAAAAATTTATTTCGAGGTTTAAAGGCTCTTCAAGCCATATGTGACCAGTTTTGAAAGGGACTTGAAAGAAAATTGAATCTGTTCTACATAATCAGTCTTCATGCTCATGATTTTGGAAAGTAGACGCATTCTGCAGCCGCAACCCTGACAACCATTGATATCATAAAATTGTTACATACGTTATAACTATACGTTTTGTATCATACACCCTGCCGATTTTTAAGAGTTAACATTAAAATTCTGGTATTAGTATGCAAAATTTTGGATCCTGCATAAATTAGTAAAAATTTTCAATACATCAAAACTTTTTTGATTCTTCATCCAGATTTTACTAGATTTAAGGTTGCAATAGTATATTTTAAGGGGTGCTGTATACTAACACACACAGCTACTTAAGTGTATATAAATATTTTTGAAATTATAATTGTATGAACATAATTTATTAACTTATTAGCTTAATTTTGGGCGTAAAAATAATGTTGACATAATCTTGATAAGAATAAAACAAAAAAACAAAACAAAAAATTTTCATTATCGCGAACAACTTAAATGAAGATTTTGTTTGATTTGGCATTATTACAAAAAAAAAAAAACAGTGTGCGCCAGTCTTATAACAAAATAAGTACAAATATCAAAATGTTTGCTTAAATTTTTCAATTTGTTGTTGTGTTTATTTCTAGGTTTTTTTGGTTTTTTATAACTAAGTCAGTGACAAAATTATGAGTCGTCCTTATTAAATTAGGAATCAAATGGATATTGGAATTTAATAAATTTTTTCCAGATTATAGTAAAATATTTACTCTAATTAATAGATTTTTTAAAATTAACTGTTATACTACCTTTTTTAATTGTAATAGAACTTTAATGATCGGGTCAGAACATTTAAAAATTCGATTTCCAATTAAATCATTAATTTTGAGTTATGCTTTCCTTGTTACCACAGATTTATAAATTATAACTATAATTTCTTGACTAAATTTCTGAGACTTAAGAATATACGTTTTAATACTTGCCACACATTTTTAATCAAAATCATATTAATATTTCATTTCTTAAAACGGAGCAATTTTCTAAATATGGTAGCTTATTTAAACACATTTTAGTTAAATAAACCATAAACCTTATAAATATTAAAATCACATTGCATACTTTCTAAATTTTTATGTTTTGTTTAATTTATGATAAAAAATAAATTATAAGTGTAAAAAAAACTTAAAAATTTCACGTACTAAAATTTGAAATTATATGATTTTAGTTATTATATTTACAGTGCCTATTAAATTGGAATAAAACTGGAAGTTTTGTAGGTTGTAAATATATCATTAGGCGAAAATAAGCTCAACTTCGTTCTGTTACGAAGCACTTGTTAAGGCTCAATAAATTTAGATTAAAGCAATGATTCGGCTTAAAGCATGGTTAAAGAGTTTAAGTTGCTGAAAACAAGTTTATACAAGAGTAGCGGTGTCTTATTTGCATTATTCTTATCATATTACAAAATATCCAGTTATTGCATACACTTAGGGATGTTGGGAGAGAGAGTGGCTTAATCTAATGGAAGTGGTTCGAACTAAAGCATGGTTAAAGAATTTAAGCTACTGAAATGCAAATTACATAAGAAGATAATGTTTTGCTTGCTTTATCATATTATGTCATATCATAAAATAACCAGTTACTGCATACTTTTAGGGACAAAAATCAATTGAAATAAATTGATTTAAAAATTTAAGTATAGTAAGACCAAATAAACCAATTCACATTTCTTGACTTTTATATAGAAATTATGCAGTGCTTTTATAAATTCTCAGATAAAGCTTGTCAGCTTTAATGTTATACTTATTTCAAAAGGAGATTTTCATGAAAATGAAACAATTTATCATATCCGAATTTCAATTAAGAAGCTACTTAATTTAATATTATTGTTTTTTTTTTTCAAATCTACGATAATCGAACTTATATTTTTGCAATTTTATAACCACTATTTAGTTCAGGTAAGTTTCCTTGAGTTAGAAATAGAAAAAATTGTTATACTTTACTCGCCAAATTCCTATAAAGTATAACTTGCCTTGATAAATTTAACATTGAACTTTTCTTATACAATATACAAATTGTTTTGAAATTATTTAGGAAAAAAAAAAATATTCTAAAAATAAATATAAAAAAAAAAATATGTTTTATAGAGCAAAATATCTAAGTATGTACAATATATGTGTGTATGTAGATAAACATACATAAATATGTATAACACTTATATTTTGGAATCTAATAACAAAAATTTTATTTACCTTTATTCAGGTTAATATTTTTTTTTTTCGTATTTCTAATTAGTGAAAGGTAATTAAAATTAACAATAAATGGAAAACAGTTATTTACTTAGTTGAAATAACTATTATTTTTTTTTTCAATTTTATGACTAAACATACATATATATTATAAAGTACTAAGTTTTGCATATATACGTATATTTTATTATTGTCAATGTATAATCGTAATGTTAAAGACGTTGGCTGCGATAGCTGATAACTGAACGACAAATATTTGTAGTCTATGTTATTATTAAGAATAATCTGTAATACATACATATATTCACATATTTTAAAGTGTTCTACTATACAATATATGCAGATATATATGGGTATTATACGATATCTGTTATATAAAAATTTTTTTTTAAAATATTTTTAAAAGTTAAATATTTTTGATTATTTTTCAAGTGAAAATAATTGAAAAAATATGTAGAAGTTATTTAGGTCAAAATATCAAAAACACATAAAATAAATATATTGAATATATTATAAAATTATGGAATATTCTTCCTCCCGTTACCCTCCATTCAAAATATATTTTGTTACTATCATTATGATTGTTACTTTAATTATTGTAGCTGTTATGAATATTATACTTTTCATAAGAGAAAATGAAATTATGAAAATTTGTAAATGAGTAAGGTAGTATTCCTAAAACTGCCCCAGTTTGATGAGCTCTTGCTACTGTTATACTTTTGAAATCGATAAATCGGTTTAGTCACCTCCAATTACTCTTAAGACTTTTAATATTAGTTCACCCCGTGTAATTTTTATGAACATGATATCACAATTTTCTGTTTTTAAAATTTGATGTTAAACAAGATTTTGTTCTCGAAAGCAAAACACTCCTTTAGAGAGGCAGAGATTGCCATAATTTCAAATCGTTTTTTGATAATTTTAAGTGTAATAATAAATCGTCTGAAATCAAAATCCAATCCGAAATTTAATTAAAATTTTTTAAAAGCTCTTAATTCATTTTTAATTTTAATAATTAGATTAACTCGACTAAATCCTTTTATTCGGGAAAAAAATTCTTTGCCCTGTAAAAAATTAGAATCTTGCTACCCCTATTCTCCTTCCTGCAGCCCATTCTTTTTCTAAAAATGATTTACTTTCTTTGCATCACAGAAATCGCTTTAAATTTGTTATTTAAGTTTTTAATAATTTTGTATTTTATTTAAGATGTTTTATTAGCACATTTTCCCCGCCATTTGCTCCCAACACACAATATATGCAATGTCTGCTTTGAAAATTAAATTAAAAGTGATTTGCACCCTACTCCTACAACAACATCCATATACGTTACCAATTTCATTTTTTTAAAGGTATCCTCGTATATACTTAAAGGTATCCTTTTCAATTTTTTAAATTTTTATTATAAGAGAAAATAATAAAACGAGTTTTTTGACATTTAAACAATTTTAAAGTACAATAAGTAGCAAATCATACTCTTTAAATTTTACATTCTATAAAGGGTAATGGAAAAAGAAATGTATAAATCCATAAATATAAAATATATTAAAAAAGTAACGTGGTAATATTAAAATTATTAATCCAATCAACTGTTGGTATCCAATCTGAGGATTAATCAATTTATCAAATTACTGCAGTTACCACAAACTCAGAAACCTAAATTCACCTGTATCTAATTGTAAAAGCCATCTGAAGCTCAATGTCTTAGAACTACACAGAAAATGTCCCGTCATCTCTTTCTCTTCCGATAATCACTTCAGGGTTTACAATCACTTCAAAAATTTGCGTACATCATAATTTGATATATCGTCGCCCTGTGAGAAGATCAAGTGTCACCCGAGCCCCTTTTTTTTGTAAAAAAATATTTCCGTCGGCCTCTCACTTCATAGATTTGAAATGATAAGTTTAGCTTGCTTTATTCCAAAAGGTTCTTCCCCAGGGTGGAACCTTTTGAAATGAGGTAATAATTGGTTCTGCTGAGGGTAAGCCATCTGTTTCCACTAAATAGCATTTCCGTATCATCATGATAGTTCGGCTCAAGGTAATTCGTACTGACTGTCGTTCCTAACGAAAGCAATAGCAAGGATAGGGTAAACTGTGTTGTAAGTGAAGCAATAAATTTTACATACCTTACAAATATCTAAAGAAGTATTCTTATTTATATTTATTCTTGCATCCATGGTATTGTTTTTCTATATTTTTTTTTTTCTAAATGCATGTAATTCGAGAATCTACTCGCGTATCTTATTTAATCGCCCTTTAAAGGTAGAACGAAGAATTTTTCATTTTCAATTTCATATAGATATTATGAGTTGGTTGGCTTGTTTCTTAATAGATTTTTATTGTTTCTGTTATAATGTTGTTGTTACATTTTAACTTTTTATCCACTAAATTGATTTTATTGGATCTCATTCTATATTATATACAAATTTAAAATCTTGTTGCTTTAAAGGTAAATTTTTTA